AAGTAGCCTGCATATGAGGCCCACTTGTGTTCTCAAACTCTTCAAACACTTGCTGACTTTTGGATTTTTAAGCACTCAGCCTCCCTCACCTCTGTTTGAGCCTGCTGACACACACACACACACACACATAACAGTAACCAGTCTAAACTTGAGAAGGTAAGCGTCTGTGACCTGCTGGTGTTAGTATGGTGTAACCAACATTGTTTGCAGTACAGTGCACTCTGTACTCTTGCATTCATTTTCCTAAGCTCGGTTTACACCAGTTCCTTTAGGGAAAAACAGCAGCACCATTTAAAACAAGCCTGTGGTCATGCTGCTCTCCAAGCACAGAAGTGTTTTTGTTGTTGTTTGTGCTGCGTTTTTTGAGGAGAGTGTGTGAGAACTCAACTACAGACTGCCTTCTCAGCTCTTGGCCTTTTTATTTACACAATCATCTCAGAATACAGTTTTCTCTGTGAACACAAGTGCACTTGTTTATGAGCTCCCAAAGATGGCACACACTGATTTGATCATTGTTGATGCAGGTTCAAAAATTCATGACCTTAAAAAAAGGTCATTTATTTATTTTTTTATTTTTAAATTAGTTTTTTCATCAAGCTATAAGTTTAAGTTTATTGAAAACTTGCATTGTATTGAATTTTTTTTTTCTCATTTTCATAGAGCACCTGTACTGGTGGCTTTAGCCTTAATTGAGTGTGGAATGAAGTATGAAGATGCGGTGCAGTTTATAAGACAGTAAGTAGTTTGGATGATTTCTCCTTGATAAACATTTGACATTCTAACTTCTGTTTTAAGGTTGGAATACACCACACACATTTTTAAATCTTAACAGTTTTTAAAACACCAGACATCATACACTTGGGAAAAACTGGGCATCATACATTACCATTACCTGAAGTAGTTCTTAACAAACACACACAGTACATGCCTCATTGCTAGAAGACACATAACAAATGAAAACAGTGTGTTCTACAATCAGCTCAAAATCTTAAACAAGTTTCATATTCTCTGACTGGATGGAATTATAGTACCCTCATACCAACTGCCCAATATTGGCAGACGGTCTGACATTCTGCAACTAGCTTCGACACCTCTGGACTGAAAAGTGGCACATAAATCTGGGCAAAAGTAATTTCAGCCTTAAGTAGATTTAAACTGAACTAATGTTTTTGTTTGTTTTTTTAGGAAGAGACGTGGAGCCTTCAACTCCAAGCAGCTTCTTTACCTTGAAAAATACAGACCCAAGATGCGTCTGCGGTTCAAGGATGCCAACGGTCACAACTGCTGTGTCCAGTAGTGCGTCATTCTGTCAGTCATACAAAACAACAGTGGGAAGTTCAACCAGGGTAGAGGGGAGCAAGAGCTGTGGGTAATAATTGTGGTGATTTTATCAAATGAATCATGGCTAATCGATAACAGAGATGTAATGAATGAAAGCTGATCTATGGATTCACCAGCAGTATCAAAGAAGAATGGTCAAAGCACACAGATGAGCCCACAACCTGGTTGATTAACCAGCGTTAACAGTCACAGGCAAGAATTTACACAAGTTCCCCTGATTTCCCAAATTTCCAATAATGGGATGACTTTTTATTTTGTGTTATTTCAGAATGAGTACTTTGAACCATGATGAAAAAATTTACATTTGCTGTCATTGTTGATTTTTTTAAGACTTATTGTTGGGCATATTCCTTTTATCTTTTTGTTTTGTTTTGTAATTATTTCCACACAATAGCCAATTTTGTTACAGAAACAACTCTAAAGTAGGCATATGATATTTTTGCACAAAACAACATTTTTAAGAAGTTCCTCACCAATGCAACAATTGCTCCCTTTGAAATCACTTTTAATTTAGGGTTAGCCTAGGTTTTAAATATGTCAGCTGTATTTATTTACTATAATTAGTGTCTTGTCAGGAGTGTGGGTGGGGTTAGGATACTTTTCTTTCTTTCATGGAGCCATGTTATTTTCTCTCCTTTTCTTTATCTCTGGGGAGTACAATTTTCAGTCCAGCTTAGAAAATCCCCTCACCCTTAGGACCATCCTACATCCAAATTCAAATACAGGAGGATACTTGGCTTGTCTTAGGTACTCCTTTCTATAGCTGCTCAGTAAAAAGCTTTACTGTTGGCCTGACTGTGACACCCACACATAATGTGTTCACTTTATCTGTCACCCCACAGACACTGAAGGAAGTGAGAGGTGGGAGACTGGTCAGCTCTGGGTTTATTTTAATTTTAATTATTTTTTTGTTTTTGTTTGTTTTAATCATTGTGCCCATTTTGAAAACACCCCCACTTCATCTTGGTTTTAAGACAAATAAATGAATTGAAATTGATTCTGGCCTGTTTTCATTGTGTGTTCTTTACTGTAATATGTTGGCTATTTACTGTGCTTGGCAGATAAGTCACTTCGTGATGACTGATTTTTATGACCACCTTCAAGATAACGTGAAAAGATAATGTGAAAAGTATTTTGGTGAAAGTGATGTGTACTGTCACCTGCAGCTGAAAGAGAAATCAATCAATCTGTGTGATTGCTGTTCTATTAAAGAGAAAGGAAAAAAAGATATGTGTGTGTCTGTTCAAACAGTACATGACCCAGAATGTACGACTCTCAATGGTCATTTAAAGACGAACCAAATATGACTCATTTGACTCCATTAGGCTTTTCCACACCAGGACTTTCTGGCCAGAAAGGTCCTGACTAATCAATGACTCATGTACATAAATAAAACGGCTCATGTGGCATTTCTAGTGTGAAGAGTGATAGGGCAGATGGAAGATGACTAAACTCTTGAAATATTTAAGTCTGTCACATGGTAGAAATCCACAGGAAGTTGGGAAATGACCTATTTATTTTCCATTTCGACAGCTACTGACATCCACTGGAGTCTGTTATATGAAGAGTCAGATGTAGGACACAATGTTTATCATTTATGTGTTGAGTTCTAATGCATAATCAAATTAAATGGGAAGCCACAGCACTAAAGCGTAGGTCTCGAGTGATTGTAGTACAAAAATGGAATTCCGATTATCCAGATTGCACAAGCCTGGGCCGGTCTGTCTTTATCTGCAGTGCCATCTGCTGGATCTGCTCATGCGTTGGTGAGGTTAGAGAATAATGCCAACATAGAATCGCATTTAATGTAGGGCTGAGCGATATGGGCCAAAAACAAATCACGATCAAATTTTTCATATCGGTCGATATCGATAATTATCACGCTAAATTGTACATATTTATTTATTTTAAGTTTAAAGGCGGAATTTTGTTCCTAGGTGAAAGATGTGGAAACCAGACCGTTACTTGTGGTTTCCAACTACTCTTTATGGTCAGAACATGACAAACAATTCACATTCTTGAGTTCTTTACACTTTTCCAGCCATTTTTCCTTAAAAATAAAAATAAATATTTTTAAATATATCTATATAAGTATATATAAATTAGTATATATTAAGTATCTATATAAATAAAACAAAATATCTTAATATAGAAATGAATTTTTTAGTTTCTGCATGTTCTACTGAGTGTTTCAAATGATGAAACAGGTTTGTGTTGCCCGACTTTGATGATGCATATTTTCAGTGCAGGCTGCAATTATTGATATCATTTTATAAGGAAAATTAAATCGCGATAATTATCGTTTTTGTTTTATCGCCCAGTGATGTTCTTCAGTAACATCAGCTGTCAATCTTCAGCAGAAGATGGGTCGCACAATTTAATTCTAGGAGTTTTAGACATAAGATCTACTACTAACCTTGCATAACCCATTTTATGTTGATACATTGCATGTAATCTTCAAGACTGAAATGAGAACACTAAAATAGATAGACAGATAGATGGTGAGATAATGTAATAGAAATTGGAAATATGCATGGAGTTTTAATCACTTCGTAGATGTCTTTGTTTATCTATATGAAAAATACAATTATTAAACTGCTTTACTTTAATTGTTAGGAACATGAAATGTTAACTATCTGGTTGCCAAAACAAACTGCATGCAGCTAATAACTTAAAGGTTACCTATTAACCCTAAATGCCATCAGACGGCCTCACGAAAGAAAAGAAAGTACCTAAAATGTATTCCAAAAAAAGAGTAAAACCTTTCATTTGAAAATGTAAATACTAAGAGCTGTTAGATTTAGTGAACACGCAAATAATGAAATTCAGCAAACTATAGAATCCGTGTATCATTCGATAATTCGTTTGTTTATTTAAAATTGAAAGTAGAAAAATTAGAAAACGGCTCCTTTTTCGTTTTTTTTTTTGTTTTTTTTCCGAAAAACGAAAATTCAGCTTAATTTTTCGTTTTTCGTTCATGGGTGGAAAAATGAATAAACAGCTTGAATATTTGATTTCTACACGTGGGCGGGAATCGGGAATCCCTTTCTGCTGATTGGTCAGCCGAAGATCAAACCGTGCCATCATCAGTTCTTCTGCAGTATCATGCAGCAGAATAATAGTCCTCCACTGCTGCAGTTGTACGGATTCTTAACGCATTTATTGCAACTACATTTAATCTTTTTTCGTCAAACAAACTAAAAGGCTTATGAATAGCTCAACACAACTCATACTGGGGCAGAGTCTAGACAGGGCTTTCTTCTGTGTAGATATAAATTCTATTCTTTGCATCAGCTGGGCATGGCAGGGTATGATATGACAGCTGTCATAGCCTACCCTGCTCACCCAGTAAGTCTGTTTGTTTGTTTAATTAAGAAATGAATTAATTAATTTGTTTCAAAATAAATATTTTAAACACTAAGACAAAAAGGAAAGAATAATAAATTGGCTTGGAATATTAAATCAAAAAACGAATGATACACGGATTCTATAGTGCAACTTGGCTGATTTTAAATGGGAGCGTTTTCTTTTGGCGAGTCTAGACTGGTGTGTAGAGAGTGGGTGGGCGTGGCTGAGTTAACGGACTAGGCTCTCATTGGTTCAGCTCGTGTGCAGTGACGTGTCCGCGACCGTTGGCTACAGAGAGAAGTGAGCAAGCGCTAAATTCAAAATTTTCAAACAGCTGAGGAGCGCGTGGTGTGTGAGAGAGAGCGGAGACACTTTTACTCCCTCACCAGGAAAATAAAGAAGCAAAACAAAGAGGATTGTGCTTTAATTTAAATTTATCGTAGTGTATATCAGGATGGACCCATTCACGGAGGTGAGTGCCCTTTATAACAACATCGTTAGTTGGTGAGGGAGGGTATGGATATAAACTAACGTTAGCACCAGTCCACCGTGTATCATGTACTGTCATCTTTAGATAGCATTAAAGTGCTGTCTAACGTCTTTACGTATTAACTTAACGTTTTATTTACCTATTAAGTTACCTATTAGCTTATAACGTGTCGTTTTGCAGTTTTTATTTATATTGTAACGTTTGAGTAATGCTAATGCTTGTGAGACACTTTTACTCCCTCACCAGGAAAATAAAGAAGCAAAATTTTTTTTTTTAAAATTTAAATTTATCGTAGTGTATATCAGGATGGACCCATTCACGGAGGTGAGTGCCCTTTATAACAACATCGTTAGTTGGTGAGGGAGGGTATGGATATAAACTAACGTTAGCACCAGTCCACCGTGTATCATGTACTGTCATCTTTAGATAGCATTAAAGTGCTGTCTAACGTCTTTACGTATTAACTTAACGTTTTATTTACCTATTAAGTTACCTATTAGCTTATAACGTGTCGTTTTGCAGTTTTTATTTATATTGTAACGTTTGAGTAATGCTAATGCTTGTCTACTTGATCATAAGCTAGCATATAATAAAGCTAACATTACTTGCAATATAATTTAAACAAACTGATGCTGAAAATGTGTCATGCTGATGTTTTTGTGTTGTTTTGAGGCCAGTCATATTCACCTTTTAAAAAATATACTGTTATACGTGTGTGACTTTATATCACTCAAGTTAACATCTCTTGGATTGTGTTGTTTTGTCTATTGTTTGAGTACGTTATGGTTGTTTCTGTATTCAATGAGCCGATGTTAACGTTTTTTTAAAGGTTTTTGTGTCAAAATGCAAAGTAGGCTCTGAATAAGTACTGTGCATTCAATCCTTAAGATATCTGAATTGAATATCTTGCTACATATAAATATCAGTAATTTCAATATAAAATGTTTTTGAATAAGGAAAAAACAATAGCTGGCAGGGCTGTGCCCATAACTTGTGGCTCTGGTTGAATACAGGAAGCCTGGTTTGATTCTAGCCAATAGGATTCCTCTACAGGGTCACATGACAAAATTCCATAGACATGAAATCCTCACTAACTGAAATTTCTACTCATTCCCTGGGAGACAGCCAACCAACAGCCACACTGCAGGAATGTGTTCGGTCTTGCTCAGTAACAGGGCTGTTAATCATGAGTGTGAGATGTTCTGCTAGAATGAGCCGCTGGTTTGTTCACACTCAGAGATGATCAGTGCAGATAAACGGGACCCATGCATGAAAAAAAGGAACTGAAACTTGGACCGTTTGATACTTGAATGCAGTTTTTGCCTTTATGTCATGCATATCATGTAAACCTCTGACATAAAATTTATTGTACTTGCATATTCTTGTGTTTTATGTTTTAAGAGATCTGTTTCTCTTTAACATTGTCATATAGGCCTTAGTAATGTAATGAGCACTTTGCAAAACTAATTTGTCGTTTTGCTCACTCAGAAACTGTTAGAGCGCACACGTGCTCGTAGAGAAAATCTTCAGAGGAAGATGGCAGAGAGACCAACGGCGGCCAACCGTCCAATGGCTAAAAGGACAAGGGAGCCACTTACAGACACAAACAGTGTCATAAGTGAGCCGACCATTGAAAAAGGTTTGGTTTTGTAAATGTTATTTTGTTGTATGCCTGTTTTGACATATGAACATTAGATGTTTCATTACTTTCCTTCTATAGCCTAAAAATACGTTTTTCTTCTTTTTTGGATAGCACTTCCCTCTTCCAAGCCATCCCCCTCAAAGCGTCGCTGTTCAGATGAAAATACTCTCCTTTCTGGAGAAGAAAACAAACAACCAATTGCCCCGCAAATGACAGCCTCTGAGCCTATGACGGACAAGAAGCCACCCCTGGTTCCAAGCAGAGTTCGTCCCATGCCTGTGGAGCAAGGGTCTGCTCGTTGTACACCAGAACCAGAAGTGCTGCCCACTCGACCTCCTCCAGACACTGAAAAGATGATGTGCCCTCCTCAATCTCCAGCAAAAAGCACAGATAGTGTAATGAAGCACACTGCTCTAGATGGAGCCAAAGAGGCACAGAAAGATGCACCAACCCCAGGCCTCTCCAACGTGAGATCTCGTCTACAGAGACTGGCTAAGCAAAGGCATAACTGGGACTCTGAGGGTAGGCAGTTCTCTCTTATATCCTGAATGCACAGAACTTAATTACAGATTTATAGACCATTCATTATTTTGAGTTATGTCTCTGTCTAACAAAAGAAAACACTATACTTTTTAAAAAATATAACATTGCAGAAAATGAGCAAACTTCTCCAAATTGCAGCAATGGTTATGAATGTGCTATTGAATATTGAATTGTGTGATATCAAATGTATCGGCTCTATAATGGCTATCGGCTACGCTGCTCTCTAAATTATCACCATCAACCATTAAAAAAAGCTGTATCAGTTGACCACTAGCCTTTAATGGAAGTCAGAATTTCAAAATCCACATTGTCTGTTTTTATATATTCTGAAGAAACGAAATCTTATAAAAAAATAATCATTTAATAAAAAAAAAAAAAAGTGTTTAAATAGACAAGTAGTGTAAAACCTGTTGACCGCTTCTTCGAATTATTTAAGTTGTACTGTTTTTAACTTTTTTAACATTTTGATAAAGTGCAAGTACACATTTAAAGTCCTCCAGAAGACAAAAATCTAGACAATATGTGATCATAGTATTAGGGCTGTCACGATGAGGGAATTTCCCATGCGTTAATTTTGAGTGGCTCAATAGCGCGGTATGCGGTATTATCGCATATATATATATATATATATATATATATAATTTGTGTGTGTATGTGTTATGATATAACTAACGAGGTCATATTCAGAAGACAATGAAACCGAAACCAAATAGCGTTGAAACACTATCGTTAGCCTATATGTATAACAGTTAGCCTAGTTGTAATCTGATTTTCTAATCTGACTGGACAAGAGACTTTCTATTGATATTTCCACTTTGTGCGCATTCTAGACGGGCTGTCAGTCAGCGCAGTTACAGTGTTGCACCACAAGGTGGTGGAAAGTGACTCATTCAACTACACGTTCAAAAACGCTTATTCATTCATTCAAAGAGACGTAATGAAACACGCTGTTGAAATCATTTTAACTTTGAGCGCCACTAGAAGGCTCAGCTTGACCAGCTGTGCGTCGATGCTAAGACAGAGATTTCGCTTTCCTTGAACATGACAACCTATTTTCACAAATATATAAGACTCAGCCTGGAGGACAGATGCAAGTAATCGCACGCACTCAAGTCGATCTCTCTCTCTCATTCAGCTGCGGTTCTTGCATTCCTCTGCGGTTTGCTCGTCAATAGCACGATATTGCGGTTATCGTGACAGCCCTGCATAGTATATAATATGACTCTCAGAATGACAAATAAGTACTCTAACTATGTATTAAACACAAAATTGTGCTTTCAGGGACCTCAGAAACAGTCCCAGAGAATGTAGTTTTATATCCTCTGAAGTCTCACAAAGTGGATCTCCCTACTGCTACCCCAACAAACTCTGAGATCCCCTTTGGAAGAAAGGGTAGACTGGCAAACCTTGCTGCCACAATCGGTTCCTGGGAAGATGACCTTGGACACCCGCCCACTCGCCGGGACAATGCACAAGCACAGCCTGGCACGGCCTGTGTGCACCCTCCTTTCAGTACAGTGACAAGTAACAGTACCAAGCCAAGTCCTGCTGTGGAACGACCTCAGACTGCCCAACCAGCTTCACACAAGTCTGTTGACAGTGGTCAGCAGGTGGGTCACGCCAACAACAGATTCTGTTCTATCCTTTTTATTATGTAAGGTTGTGTTGTGTTGTGTGTTTGTAGTGCGCTGTCTTTGGTGAGGGGGGGGAAGAATCTTGTGTAAAAAGATATAAAAATGTTTGTTCTTATAGCCAACAGTTTACTCTCCAGTCAAGTCAACCAGAGTGGTTCCACCTAGTCCTCAGAAGACAGAGTTTCCTCAGCCCAGACTGGCTCAAGCAGGTCCCTCTCCTGTTTCCAGCCCACTAAAGATTTATCCCTCCACTCAGCCCTCCAGTCCACTTAAATCTTTGACAGCATCTCCCTCCAGTCCACACAGAGGTTGCGTCTCTCAGAGCACCCTGAAGAACCAGGGCCCATCTAAATTGAATTCTGGAGCAGCACTTAATTCAAGCCCTGCAAAACCAATTTTGACACCTAAACCCTCTTCTACTGCTGATGTTTCCGTCATACATCAGACTCGTGAGAGGTTTACCAAGGACACGACACCCTTACAGCACAGAGGCCCAGCTGGAACTACTGGTCAGTGCTGTTTCTCTTCTTCTTTTTTTCTACACTGAAGTGTAAGCCTGTGAACTTATGTTTGCTTATGTTGACCTTTAGTAGGTGTCAAATCATTTTTGGAGCGTTTTGGAGAAAGGTGCCAGGAGCGCAACCAGAATTCTCCCTCCGCATTAGGAGGTCAAGGACACACACCTGTGGCTACTCCCTCTGCCACCCCCAAGTCCAGGCTGCTCCAGGAGAGGCTGGGGTGCACCCAGACCACCTCCACTACAGCTGTCCTCACTCAGAAGCAGAAAATGGCATGTATTCTTAAATATTTAAAGGGCATATTTGTTGAATTGCATATGAAACATCAGCACTAATCTTTTATTTATTATTAATAGGAGCGAGAGGCAGAGCTAGCACAAATTCGTAATCGATTTCAAAAAGGCAACAAGTTGAGGAGCAAAGAGGATCTCAGTGAGGTCAAGAATGACCCTGAAAACAAGGTTTGCTATCATGTTTTCTGTTGCTGCTGCTTGTAAATAGGATAGTGCAACACTATTTAGGGTTGCAAAATTCCAGGAATTTTCAAGACTGGAAACTTTCCATGGGAATTAACAGGAATTAATGGGAGTAAACTGGAAATTTGCAAAATTGCAGGAACTGGAAACTTAAATGTAGTTGAAAAAATCTTGCCGCATAATCTTGGTTAAAACAAACAGATTTAAAGTTGTCATATGATGCTTTTTTAAAGATCATTATTTTGTGTATTTGGTGTAACAGAATATGTTGACATGCTTTAATGTTCAAAAAACACATTATTTTTCAAATACTGTACATTATTGTAGGTCCTCTATGCCCCGCCTCTCTCAAACGCTTCGTTTTCTACAAAGTCCCTCCTTCCGACAAGCGCAGTCTGCTCTGATTGGCCAGCTGACCCAGTGCATTGTGATTGGCCGAACACCACAAGCACTCGTCGGAAATGTAACGCCCCTTACCATAATCGCGAGCTTCAGCTTTCAAAATAAATGTAAAGACAGAGCCCGAAAGGGGAACAGAGTCGCGTGACAGACACTGTGATGAAGCTGGTATGTGTTTGCAGTACACAAGCCATGGTTAAGACAGCTGACTTCACTGTGATGTGAGCCCCCACCCCCCCCCTCTCGCTCTCTCTCTCTCGCTCGCTTGCGCACACACACACACACGATGCGCAAAACTCCGCATTTGAACAGTCAATAGCAAATACTTGATTGTCATAGCAAAGTCAGAATTACCTCCTCTCCTAGGTTCACGAAACGGTCGTCCATAAAATGCATTGCTGTTCTGTTGTAAGTAATCTTAAAGATTCCTACATGCATCTAATTTCGGAAGGCCATATAAAGCTTTTGCTTTCGCCTAGAAACACACAGCGTCTCCCTGACATGGCTGCATCAACACTAACTGCGGTTACTGAAACCACGCCTTCTTTCTTTGCGTGAACATTTGGGCGGCATTACGCAAATATTTCCACATAGTGAGGTAGAATATGTGGGGGCGTGTTAGAACGAGCCGTTTTAGGGGGGTGTGGCAGAGTCTTAACTTTGATAAAGAATATCTCTTTGGTTTTGAGACTTTAGTCTTTGCAACTTCAGGGATCTTATCTATGCACAATCAGCATGTAACACTCCAAAGAGAAAGGAAAACTTGAAATCGCATCATATGACCCCTTTAATGCAATTTCAGTTTACTTTCTACCCTACACACTGCTCAATCACATGCACACAGCACACTGCTTACTGCAGGGCTATTGAGGCCACACTCCCTACATGCACTGTGCTTTCCTCCATAACATGAACAGATAATTTCTTAAATCCTGCACACAAAACATCAAAATGTCCATCTTGGTAAGTATTAATGTAAATTACATGAACATTACAAAAAAAAATTTAAAACTTCATTGTGCTGTGTGTAATATACTGTGCAACTAAAATAGGCTATACAATAGGAATATTTACAATAGCCATTGTAAAAAGAAATACACTGACTGAACAAACATTTAGGTGAGATAATAATAAAACAGAAGTCTAAAAATGACTTTCCCCCACACACAATCCCCCTTCAGGGCTGTACGTTAAATTTTGTTTTTCACATAGCACTGGTGCTGCAGAGGTTGAAAGTTTTGTAGCACAGGCCAAAAAGTTGTAGTACAAGTTAGGCCTGTCGCAATAATCAATATATTGACTTATCGCGCAATATATGTACATGACCTCAATAATTGTTGGTGATGCAATATATCGCTGTTACATTATGATTATATATTCAGTGGCGTAAAAGTTCTTTTAAATGACAATAATATCGCTTATCGCAATTATTTCTGGGGCAATATATCGCACAACAAAAAGTTGTTATCGTGACAGGTCTAGCACAAGTATAAAACGTCCGTTATCATGTCTGAAAACAAACACAAGTAATGGAGTTCATCACTTAAACATGCACTGATGTCCCATACAGAGCACAAAAAAATACAAACCATCACAAAAATTGTTTTTAGACTAAAAAAAGGATGGTGCTAAAAATGGAAGAGTGCAGAAACATAACACCTTAACAAAATATAAAATAAAAAAGAATGGCAGACATTTAGGCCAAAGTGAGAAAAGATAAAAATCTGTCATTTTTTTTAATCTTTGTTATTAGAAAATAAGAACACAGATATACATTACAAATACACATAATATACAAATAAAGCAAACAGTGCTTTATTTTTCAGGTACAGTATTTAGCAGTAACATTCAAGAAATTGAATGAACAAATATTAAAATAAAACACTATATACATCAATTATACTTTTTTTAAAGCAACTGACTGATGATAAGTTCATCAGTCAAGAACAGTGAGTGATTTTTTTTTTTTCTGTGTTGTTTTATTAACATTAAAAAGATAGTTCACCAAAAATGAAAATTCATCTGTCATCTGTCTTTCAATTCTGTCATAGTGTTTCATTTTTATACCATCATTTACTCAAGTTGTTTTAAACCTGAATTAGTTTCTTTCGTCTGTTGAACATAAAAGGTAATTTTGGAGAATGTGGGTAACCAAGCAGTTGCTGGTCCACAGT